AAGTGGTGGCACAGAGTTCCCCACGTCGTATGGATACGATGTAAAACACGACGTACATATAGGGTTAAGTGGTGGCACAGAGTTCCCCACGTCGTATGAATACGATAGTAAAACACGACGTACAGATAGGGTTAAGTGGTGGCACAGAGTTCCCCACGTCGTATCATGGATACGATAGTAAAACACGACGTACAGATAGGGTTACGTGGTGGCACAGAGTTCCCCACGTCGTATGGATACGATAGTAAAACACGACGTACGGATAGGGTTAAAGTGGTGGCACAGAGTTCCCAACGTCGTATCATGGATACGATTGTAAAACACGACGTACAGATAGGGTTAAGTGGTGGCACAGAGTTCCCCACGTCGTATGGATACGATAGTAAAACACGACGTACGGATAGGGTTAAAGTGGTGGCACAGAGTTCCCAACGTCGTATCATGGATACGATTGTAAAACACGACGTACAGATAGGGTTAAGTGGTGGCACAGAGTTCCCCACGTCGTATCATGGATACGATAGTAAAACACGACGTACAGATAGGGTTACGTGGTGGCACAGAGTTCCCCACGTCGTATGGATACGATAGTAAAACACGACGTACAGATAGAGTTAATGATGACTCACCTCTGGTGGTGGTAGTGGGTCTAGGTCTCGAAGTGCTTCCAATTCCCCGGGTGGTGTGAGTAGGTGCGGTGGTTGAGGCGTCCGGGTTCACACCCTCACACAGTCCACGGCCACAAGACTTGGCGCAGTGCTTTGCCATCCATACAGAGTTGGAGATACACTCCAGCTTCTGGGCCCAGATTTCGCACTGTTTGTCGTCGAAAAAATTCTTGCAGGTTCCTGGGAAAGGGAAGAAGATACATAAATATGTGTCACGACGTGGTGGAATCAGGTGCTCGTCAAATTTTAGGCATTTGGAGTTATTGGTATAATCCAAGGACTACTATTCTCAAGGACGTGCACCGTCGGATTCCTGACTTGGCTAGCGAAGGCCATCATATAAACATGTCCAACTTATCACTAGGCACAAGATACATTTCATATTGAGTGCGAGAAAGCTAAAACATGTTGTAATGTTGTTGAACGCAATATTGTAGCATAGTAATACATGTTATTTCTATATTTTTGTTGTCAAGCAGAAATATTAGTATAGTAGTCCTTGGTATAATCTTAAAACTTCTTTAGTTGTTTTTGCTGACTGTGAGAGAAAAGACACATCTATCTTGAGTAGAAGTCAGTCAAGATATTTGAGATTTCAGATTGTGAGGTCGCTTGGTTTCAAAGGCAAAATCAGCGAGAAAATGGCCGCCAAAGTTTGGTCATTTCCATAGCTTGATGGTCCGTGGAAACTGAAAATTTACATTTTTTGAGCCTTAATCAATGCTTTTCAGCAAAATCTACCCAAATATGTGATTTTAATTTGACAACAATGGTGTTAAGCCAAATAACTAAAATTCTTTAAAAATTGCCAAACTAGCAGAAAAATGCCAGTTTCTTCAATATCATTATTTGTGGCGTCGGTGGCCTAGTGGTTCTCGGACTCGCAAGCGTAAGGTCGTGGGTTCGAATCCCGTCAAGGGCCCGACGTTGTGTCCTTGGGAAAGGCACTTTACACGAATTTTCCTCACTTTACCCAGGTGGGAATGGGTACCCGGCTATAGACAGCGAAAGATCTTGTCAGTTTGTTAGTGTTTGAGCGCTTAATCGGCTGCTCGCACTGTATGCTTCCCGGGAAGCTGAGAATGTTTCGGAGTGTACTATGGACTGCTGGGGTAATCATATAGTGTAAAGCGCATAGAGCTTTCTATTGAGCGGGGATATGCGCTATACAAATGCTGTCTATTATTATTATTTTGACGAGCGCCTGATTTCACCACATTGCCTCACATATGTACTTTTTATTAAAATATATTTTTCTCTTACTTTCTTCAGTCGCAACATCGTAAAATTCTTTGAGAAGCATCATGTTAATCTACCCAGTACCCGAAATAGTTTTCTTGTTGTTGTTGTTGTTGTTGTTGTTGCTGTTTTTGTTGTTATTGTGTTGTATTGCTCTTGTGTTGTGCTGTGTTGTTATTATTATTATTATTATTATTATTATTATTATTATTATTATTATTATTATTATTATTGTTGTTGATGGTGGTGGTGGTGGTAGTGATGGTGTTGCTGTGGTTTTATTTCTCGGATGGCCTGTAGTAGACACCTTTTCTCCATTGTTGTTG